GGTCCAAGAGTCCTCACGCGACAGGAAGGACAGCAACACACGAACAAAAAAAAGAAGAAAAAAANCACAAAAACGTCGACATAACGGGAGCCGCGAAACGCACGGCGCCCACGTGACCCACCCCTCAAGGGTCCAAGAGTCCTCACGCGACAGGAAGGACAGCAACACACGAACAAAAAAAAGAAGAAAAAAAAACGCGAGAGCCGAAGAAAGAACCACTAGCAGACCCCCCTCCCCGCCGCTCCTTTCCTGGGCGCACTCGCGCATTTAAATATTCCCAAGCCCCCCTCCCTCCCTAGGGTAGGCACAATGAACGGAAAACTGTTGCGAGCACCGCTGCATCCGTCGCGAGCACACTGTTCAGTGCTGCAGCATGGCCTTGACTACTTCCGTTGGGAGTCCGTCGTTACCATCGCCAGCGAAGACCTTGGTAGCCGCGCACATGCACTCCCCCGCTTTCAACTGGTTACCCCTTCCGAAGCATCCAAGGTCTTTGGCGGTGTCGTAGTACCCCTGATTCCTGACCCTTTTCGCCACGCAGTACCCTGGGTCATCCTTGTACCTGGTGAAGACATCCTGTCGGCGGGGCGTGACGCAGGGGACGGTCGTTGTGGTGAGGCGATGACACATTCTATGTGCTTGATCACTGCCATCTCCCCATCAACAATTTTACCCCACAAACGGCAGTTCTTGTCGTCCGCCGGTTTGTGTCGCCCCGTGCGGAGGACGCTAAGGAAAACGACACTTCTTGATTGTGCGTACTTTCATGTGCAGAACCACTTAAATAAAACGAACAGCGATGCTCGTGCTCCTACTGCTGTTCTAGCTTCGAAAGGCCACAGAGGGAAATGAGAACGTGTCCAAGCATATATGTAACACTTCGCTTTTTAAATTATGCGAATGCGTGAAATAGGAGCGGTTGAGGGTGGCGAGTGCGGCGGTCTCCTCTACCAATGTAACTAGATGAATAGTAGGCCCGAAGAAGAAAAAAAAAGGCGGCGAGGACACGGGGGGTGTTATTCAACGTGATCAATCGGGCCTTTCGTTTTTTTGCGCTCTCGCCACGAGAACGCNGTGTCGCCCCGTGCGGAGGACGCTAAGGAAAACGACACTTCTTGATTGTGCGTACTTTCATGTGCAGAACCACTTAAATAAAACGAACAGCGATGCTCGTGCTCCTACTGCTGTTCTAGCTTCGAAAGGCCACAGAGGGAAATGAGAACGTGTCCAAGCATATATGTAACACTTCGCTTTTTAAATTATGCGAATGCGTGAAATAGGAGCGGTTGAGGGTGGCGAGTGCGGCGGTCTCCTCTACCAATGTAACTAGATGAATAGTAGGCCCGAAGAAGAAAAAAAAAGGCGGCGAGGACACGGGGGGTGTTATTCAACGTGATCAATCGGGCCTTTCGTTTTTTTGCGCTCTCGCCACGAGAACGCACAACAGCCAAATAGTAGTCTACGGTGCGGCCGAGGTGCTGCCTAAGACTCGCAATACATGACGCCACCGTGACCCAATCCTCGCCTAGCTGAATCCCATCCCACACAAACCCCAGTCATACATGCTCGGAACATGCTCTACTCTACCTCGCCTAGAGATCATGCCCACACCTGCAGCCGAACAGCGGCCAAAACAGCAGACTAGTGCAGCCCGCAGTNCCCATCCCACACAAACCCCAGTCATACATGCTCGGAACATGCTCTACTCTACCCCGCCTAAAGATCATGCCCACACCTGCAGCCGAACAGCGGCCAAAACAGCAGACTGGTGCAGCCCGCAGGAGGTAGTTGACGGGTCTTCCTGCCAGCTGACGGGCGGCTGATGGTGATCACAGACTCCCTCCGCCAGCTCCTCCGCCTTCTTCTGGATGAAGCTGCCGATGGTCTCCGGGTGAAGCCTCGCATGCTGTAGAATCGCGACTGCTGTGTCCTCGCTGCTCAGGCTGGGAGGCTCAACCCTGACCAGACCCGAGCAAAGCTCTCCTGCGTCCACCGGAGAGTCGAAAAGAGGGTCATATTCGCCCTCCGCCACAGCGCCACGAGATGGCGCGGTCATGGAGGGCTGCTTTCCGCGTGTGGCTGCCTTCGAGGTGGTGTCATGTTCGCTGCCGTGGTCGTTGCTGGGTTGTATCAGCAGCTAGCTGGAGCAGACGGCTGCGGACCTTCTTCCTGGCGCCCGTTTTCGTGCCCCATGGGCGACCTACGGGCACGCTTTGACACGGGGCTAGTAGTTTCTGCCATGATCTGGCTTGTGGAGCTTGTACGGTGGCGTGTGAACGTGCACGGCCCCTGTTCTGGAGGGTTGAAATGACCAACCTTTGACTTGGTTTTAGATCAGCCCCCGTGTCCCCCTCCCAAAAACGCGGAGAGCCGTCTCAGTACCGTAGTCGGGAGGTGGACTGGGCCGGCAATCTGACGAGTTCGTCGAGAACATGCGTCCCCCGTCATAGCTTGCTAATTAGGTGCTGGCGATTGCAAACATGCCACCTCTGACACTCGCATGACCTGCAAAAATTATCTGCGCGTCGCTCCGAAACCCCACAGCACTGCGATCGCCACGCAACGGTGCCATAGCTGTGGAAGTTCGCGTTGCCGTGGCGTTGAGGATCCTGGCTGGCGCCAGTTACTGGGATGTCCTGCTCATGTTTGGCTTGTCGGTGGCGGTCACATACCAGATCTTGTGGGAGGTGATCGATGCCATCAACAACACGCCTGC